AATATGGAAGGTATACACAGAGTCACTGTACCAAAAAGAAGTGGCTGACACAGAACCTTTTTAAGAAGTAGCATATAAGCAAGAATCAATGATAATAAAGAAGAAAGTTCAAGTTCTTCTGAAGAAACTGGCAAATAATAAGGCCACATGAACTGATGAAATACTAATTGATATATTTCAACAAACAGATGCAAACAATTATGTATCTTCTTAAATATTTGGAGTAGTTCTATAGATATACCATTGATATTCAATAAACTGCATATACTGAAAAAATACATTTCAGGAAATATTAACATCTGTATGCACCCACAAAAATGCCATTGGGATAATGAACAAATCCACCACAGGAAAAAGCTTTTTTCTTATTTAATTGTACTTCCACTTTATATTTCTCCCATTCAGTACAGAATACAGTCTTAGATGTGCATTGCATTGGAACATCAAGGGACCAAAAAAGACTCACCACTAGATGAATAGCTAAAACCACCATACATGGAGAAAAAAGATCGAAGTTTTCAGTGATTTTATATTACTTAGCACCTCAATCAATATTCATGGCAGCATCAGTAAAGGAATTAAAAGGGGGGGGTACTCACAAATACGTTGCATTGGTAAAAGATGCTGTCCCTTGATTTTTCCAAGGTGAAAAAGAGCAAGGATATCAGTTGAAATACGAAGGTGTTTCTGATCCATGCCAGGGTCATTTCAATTGCTTCCTATGCATGGAAAAGTTGGACAATGAATAAAGAAGATCAATAAAAAGAATGCCTTTAAATTGTGTGCTTGGAAGAGAGTATTGAAATATCATGAAATGTCAAAATAACAAATTTTTCTTGTAGAAAGTGTAAGGAACACTTCTTTGTACAGAGAATAGTGAAATATTGTATCACAAACTTTGAGTACCTTGTGAGGGTGGGCTTAGTGTTCAGAAAAAGAGGTCATGTTGGGAAAGGGAAAGGATCAGAGAAGGAGAAGACTTTCAATGAGGAGGATTGACAGCATAATTGCAACAATGGTTAGAGCATGATGGAGACCATGATGACTTTGCAGGACAGTGTGTGGTTCAGATCTCTTGGTCATTGGGTTATCGTGAGTTGTAGTCAGTTCAATAGCAGCACCATCACCACCATCAACAACTTTTTATTATCTTTAATCTATTGTCTATCACTATACACATGAACTTCACCTGATGGTATGCTTAGGCATGAAATAGATTATATCAGTGGAAAGAACCACAGGAGAAGATCAATATCAGCTGTGAAAACTAGGCCAGTGATTGTTTGCATAGACCATAAATTACTTATATGCAAATTCAAGCTGAAATTGAAAATCAAAACAAATATATAGGAACTAAAATGTGACCCTAAATCTATCCCCTTGAATTTCAAAACCATCTCTGGAACAGGTTGGAGTCCTTGAACACCAATGAGGGAAGATCAAATGAGTTGTGGGAGGATATCAAGAATAACATCCATAAGGAATACAAAAGGTCATTACAAAGGCAGAGGAAGAAGAAAAGACCAAGATGGATGTCAGATGAGACTCTGAATATTTCACTAGAGTACCGAGAAGCCAAAGCAAAGGTAAGAAAACAAGAAATTAAGGAGCTGAACTGAAGATTTCAAAGCATAGTGAGGGAAGACAAAGCAAAATATTA